TAAATGCAAGAGATTTGACATATGTTTCTGCCATTGGCTGCTTACATTTTTATGTAGGACATGGGGAAGGGAAAGAAAAAGAGGGGCAATAAAAGTAATCCAAATTTTCCTTTACAAATCAGCAGGGTATCTTATCCATTCATTTACTTGCATAGTTTTATACAGTAACTCCTTGCTTAATGTTGTAGTTATGTTTCTGAAAAATGCTACTTTAAGCGAAACCATGTTAAGCGAATCCAATTTCCTCATAAGAATTAATGTAAATAGAGGGGATTAGGTTCCAGGGAATTTTTTTTCAACCAGACAAAAGACACTATATACATATACAGTACAAGTTTTAAATAATTTTAAACCAACAATTTAATACTGTACTCTCCAATGATGATTGTGAAGCTTGGTTGAGGCAGGGGCGTAGCGAGGTCAGGGCACGGGGGCTTGCCCCGCTCTGCCCACCCGGCGCTCCTGCCGGGGAGCAGGGTTTGGGGTTTGCCCACTCTCCAGCTGGAACACCGGGCAGGCAGAGTGGGGTGAACCAAACAATCTTATAACAGAACATTGTGCGACTTTAAACAAGTATGTTTTTTAATAGATCACCAACTGAATAACAAAATAATGTTAACTGGGACGACTTTAAGTGAGGAGTTACTGTATAGACTACACTGAACAAATCAGGGAATGCTGGACATGTGATCTCAAAGATGCTGCTGTTAAAAAGGAATGTAAAAAACTTTCACAAATGAAGTCCAGCAGGGACCCAAAAGTGGGGGGGTGGAGGGGGGAGGAGCAGCAATGTCAGGTATATGACAGTCAGACACAGGAGAAGTAATTTGGTATAGTGATTGTATGTTTCACCCAAAACCATAAAAGGAAGCATAAAAGAAAGTGTCTCCTACTCAAAAATAAGCTTTATTCCTGGAGAGATCAATATAGAAAGTCCCTGAAAGAGTTAAACAGCTATCAAAAATGGATACAACGGACACAACTAACAAACAATTCAGATACAAGCAGGTCTGCAAGGTACATTTTACTAAGTTTAAACGGTTCTTGCTTTAAACGAAAATGGACTCAAATCAAACAGTGACCAAACTTTAATCATAATTAAATCATATTTGATATTAATACCAGTCATACTTAATTTGATATGCTATATGAATACACTACAGTAATATCCTACAGGTCAAAAACACATGACAATCTGATGCCAGGGCCTGTAAGTGCAGTTAGCGGGGTGACCAGCATGAGGTACCGTCTGTCCAAGTACAGTCATTTCTAAAACATGTGTCCAGTAAGGAACATAGAATCTGCGATGGAATGAGCAAAGACTGACTGACTGTGAGGACTTTTTTTTGAAAAGTTATTTGCCCATAAATATAAACGTAGCCTGCGATACACAAAAGATAGATAAAATATGATACAGCCCTGAAAATAATTTTAAAAATATGCATATACTAACAGTTCAGACATCTTTACCTTTTAGGGCAGTTAATTCCCTCCAGCTGCAGAGTAGCTTTCAGTTCATAAACACTGCTTAAGTTTGTTTTGTATTTTTATTTCCTATTGAAATGTTCTATGCACTAGTAATAGCTCTCTCATCCTATATCCACTGCTGATCCACCAGTAAAAAGTGAAAGCGTAAGCTATAAACCTGATTTAAAAAAAAAATGTTGGGAGTTTTGTTTGTTTGTTTGTTTTAAAAGCCAGGCTATTCCTATATAAAACAGTGCTCATGTTTCAATACTATGACTAACTAGTCTAAAAAAAAATTTAAGCGTTTAATCTGACATGGGATTTTCAGCCCACAATGTTTTCCTTTTTCAAAATTAAATCTAAACAAGGCACAGCAACATAAGCACTGAACAACATTTTTACAATGCTGTGTAAGGTTTGAGATGCATAATTGCCATTTACTCTAGCAGGCGTTACATGACTCTACGTTGCACTGATCAAAAAGTTAAATTCACTTTAAATTGAAAGTTATTGACACTTGGTTGGTCAAAACCTTACGGGCTCAATCCCACAAATGCTTAGCAACTCCACACAGTATTAACTGACAGCAGCAGAGAATGTTTGCAGGATTGGGCCTTTATTATTTACAAGTTCGAGTTTGGTTATGTATTGCTGTCAGGTATCTTGAACGTTTTTACCTTCTTAAATCTTCAGCAAAGCATTAATTAGAGCAAGGTGATTAAAAAGGAGGCAATTTGTGTGTCTCATTCTCTCTAGAGTATAGACAAAATCATCACTTATATCCATCCATGCCACCAGTCAGACTGGAAAAGTTCTGGTTTTGAAGCAGAGCAACAAGCTCAATATTAACGCTTTTACCAGCGAAACTAACACTGCTAGCGCTGTAGTGCAGCAATCATACTGAGCCCAATCACTACAGTTACGTTTGTAAAACAGCTTCCATTCAAACCCCATTTTCACACACGTACCCCCACAGTTCTTTAACCTAGCAACCTCTGGAATTTACAAGTCCAGCTCTGGAAGAAGTCTGAGATTCTAAACATGAGAAGCCCAATGTCTTCAGAGCAAGGAGTAGTGATGGAAGACGTTTAGCCCAACATTGAAGAATGTACAGCGTCTCTGCAACCTCCACAAACCTATTACATTGGAACAAAGAACTTACAAATTCTACTGGGGAAGCCTGTGATACTTACAAGCTCCACAAAGCCAGTATCTCAAAATTTCTCCTCCCTTCCTTCTTCCCCTGCCCCCACAACAATCTAGGGCTGTTAAGTGAAAACAGTGTTTCTAGAGTATTAAGGTTGCAAAATCAAGCACTCAAAAAGAAGAAAATTCCATAGCTAAGGCATCTCCCCCTAACATTAACTCAGTCGCAATGTACATGGCTAATATTTTTCGACTGTTTTCCTTGTTTAACATAACCTTTCGATCCAAACTGTTAGTTATTAATGCATGCCATAAAAAGAGATCTAGGGTGTGTAGCATAATCAAATTCAGCTTGTGGAAGAACCCTTAATTTTGTAATAACCTGATTTGTGAGTATTTGCTGCACTGATACTATCATCTGCCATTAAAGAGCACTCGCTCTAAGTCAACGCACCCTAGTATTCCCTGCTTTGCCTGCATGCTGACTATAGTGAATACAACCATGCCTCTTCACAAAGGCAGCCTTGGATAATCTTACAGCTGAAAATTGATTTTTATGAAGAAAGCATGTCTAGCTCTTGGCAGACATAACAGCTTAAGTTAAGATCAGCAGTCTCATCTGATACAATCACACAGAGATCCAGAGACATAACTGAAGTCCTATCAGTTAACCTATCCCTGGCTGCTTGTTTATACATTTTTTTTAAATTGTTTACCCATAAGGCTCTAATCCACCCTCCTGGGATCCTGTGTCCAAGGTAACATGTCCAGTTGGGAGTGTGTGTGTGCACATACATCAAAACATAAAACATGTAGTGATCTCCTTAACAGATGAATATGTCTAAGGTGTACATTTACTTGTAACATAATCATTCTGCTGATTAAAGACCCTGCTTTGTGCACAACACACCTTGAGCTTTGATGTCTTTTTTTTAAAAATAACCACAGGAGATGAATGGGGTTGAGAACAATAGGATGCTTGGTTTGATGATGCGCTCTTCAGAGGCTGCTCAGTCAGTATAATGCTACCGAAACACATACAAAGATTCTGTCCAATTCTAAATCTGAAGTCTATGTGATAACTGCATATAGAATTCAATACAACACAAGTGGTATCTACAGGAAAAATCCTCTTTATTCTGATCTGTTTTAAATATTTTTAATTAAAACTAATCTCCTTTTGAACAGAGTAAACTAAAGTTATTATATATGTACAGGTTTAAAAATAGACATTTTTATTTTTTTTGGCTGGGTTAATTTCCCCTCTTTCCCATCTAAAGCTCCACTGTGAATCCCCCTGAGTCAGTTACAACTACTACTTTACACTGCTGAATTCTGCCAGCAATCTGCTCAGCATTCTAGCAGATGTTTCTGCTTTCAGGCCACTGGGAGCTTTATTGGACCCACTTCCTTTTCGGCCTAAAAAGGGTATAAAATGTATTCAAAAGTACTAGCGGAACTACGATCCTCAAGTTCCTGCCCCATGTGTCCCCCATAACCTTCTTTTTCTATAAAGCAGTTGAAGTTACATTTAAAAATCAGTATCCTCATCGTCCTTTGAGAACTTCCTGAAAAGGAGATGCTCCTGATTCTGAGATACTTTGGGACCACCTGCAGCAACTTAAGTAAATGTCCCTCATGAGCACAGAAAGTCACAGAAGGGCAGACTGTATGGCAGGTTAGCTCCTGCAAACAAAGTGATCACTCTCACATGAGAACTGCCAATTT